CGATGCTGATGGGAGGAAGAGTTGAAGGTCAGGTGTCTCTAGTTTTCCCCGAGTCTTTATGCAGGCTCACTTTGATAATCCCTCCCCCCGGAAAGCCTAGGAGAGATTTTATGCGAACTTCCTGCTGTATGGGAGATGAGCTGAGTAACACACATCTGTTTTATTGTTGCAATCTGTCGGAGAGTGGTGGTGGTTACTTCAGCTCTCCAAGATGGTGGTCACTGGTTTCCTTGGTGGAGTTTCTGTTGTGGGGGATAGAACTGTACGGCTTCCTTCCCCATCTGAAATCCTGAACTCAGCCCGGGGGTCAGTGAGGGCTCAGCCGGCAGGATTCCACAGAATCTGCAGCCACGTTTCTCCTTGCTTGCTGGTTGCTTCTTGGTGGCGCTCCACCATCTGTAGCCGAGGGGCGGGCCACGCAGATCAGTCAGCCCGGATCTCTGGTCACACAGTTGGCTATCGAGTATTTTAAATTAAGCAAAAATTACTATATTTGTTTTAAAAATAAGATTTATAAGTTATGTTTAAAGAGTTGGTTTTCAAATTAAATTTATTAAAATTATAAATTTTAATACACTAAGTGCCTTTTTCATACACTAAGTTTTTCTATCCTAATACAAGGCACTAAAAAACAAAATGAGCATCTATAATTTGAACTTCATCTTTTTCTTACCCCAACAATGCAATAAGTTTCTGCAATTTAAGTGGACTACATGTACAGTAAATGTCTGTTGGTAAATTCCTAGAGCTTAAATAGATTTTGAAATCATGCCCAAGTTCATAATTCTACTATATTATTTTGATAGCACATATCAAAATAATATAGTACATAAAGTTAATAAAAAGGAGATGCATTGACAAAATGAAATCAATAATTACAATTAGGAAACCTATCAAAGAAAATGCTGAGAATGGAAGAGATCAGTAGAAAAATTGCTCCTGCAAGGTATTTTAGTGTAAACAGGAAGACTATCCTGAGGATTACAGAAGCCGTTAGGAAATGGTTTGTGGCTTAGAGGTGAGAACACATGAGAGAGGGAGAAATTATAAGGAGGAAAGGAAAGCATATTAAAGGAATATTACCCCCTTATGTTATTCTCACATATTACCATAATATATTACCCTCATAATATGACTGAATATTAAGAAGTAGCTCAATTTCTTTTCACTTGCTGAGGTTTGGATATAGTTTATGCACTAAAGCTCATGGCCTGGAAGCTTAGCTCCCAGTGTGAAGATATTAAGAGGTGATATTACTCAGCATTAAAAGAGAATAAAATTCTGGCATTTTCAGGTAAATGGATGGAGTTGGAGAACATCATGCTAAGCAAAGTAAGCCAATCCCCCCAAAAAACCAAAGGCCAAATGTTTTCTCTGAAAAGTGGATGCTGATCCATAATGGAGGATAGGGGAATAGAAAGAATGGAGGAACTTTGTATAGGGCAAAGGGGAGTGCGGGAAGGGGAGGGAGCAGTGGGGTTAAAAAAAATGGTGGAATGAGATGTACATCATCACCCCAGGCACATGTATGACTGCACAAATGATGTGACTCTTCATCATGTACAACCAAAGAAATGAAAAGCTGTGCTCCATCTGTGTGCAATGAATAGAATTCATTCTACTGTCATGTATAACTAATTAGAACAAATAAAAAAATATTTTTAAAAAAAAATAAAGGTGAGAGAACTTTCATAAAATGAGGTCTAGCATCAGTGGCACTACCCTCAGAAGGGATTAGAGTGGTTCTTGTGCAATTCTAGATAGTTCCTATAAAGGTGAGATGTTTTAAAGGAGCAAGTCTAATTCTTGAATCACTCTATCTTTACTCACACATAATAAATAGGTGAGCTAGAATTTGAGCCTAGCTGCCAGGAAGTTTATGTACATGAAGCAAAACACAATGGTGCTCACACTCAATTTAAATGAAACCATTCTGACATCCAAGTATACAGGAATAAGCATCTTAATTTTCCCTATGATCTTTATGTGTTTAAAAATACAATTTACAGTATCAGAGCAAAGGTGAGGCCTGGGGCTCACCTTTGTATAGGGCAAAAAAAAAAAAATCATTACCATAAACAAGCTAATGAACATATTCATCAATGTGTCAAGAGAAAGCTATGGGAACTGGAAACATGGAAAAGAGTGGTAGAAGAGAGGTAAATAGAGTGACCCACAGATGGAGCCTTGTTACTGAAACAGACAAAGGAAATTTATATACCAAAATGTCTACTTTTCACTTTTTTTGTCCTTTGGGTTTTAGGGTTTTTTTTATTCTCTTCAATTGTACATATTTAAGATATATAACTGAATGACTTAATATATATACACAATGCAAAATCATTACCATAATCAAGCTAATGAACATATCCATCACTGTCTGTTTTCTCTCTCCCTCTCCCTCTCTGTAGTAAGAACATTTAGAATCTGCCTCCTTATATTACTGCCATGTTCCTTTATCTTCTCAAATCTTTACCAAATTCAACTATTCAAATGCCTTTCTGTAAGTAGTTTGGCAAATTTTTTAAAGAGGTGTTGAATTTCACATTCAGATTAACATGGTATGAATCACATATCTCATAAACTAGATGGGAAAATAATTTTTTTAAAAAAGAACAAAAGCAGTAGCCTATGAGCAGAGGAGAATGAGAAATCATATGCCCCTAAGAAGTCACAAAAATCTCAATAAAGATGATGTGAACTTCAAAGGTAGAGAAAGAAGATAGCCAGAGTTAGAGATACAAAAAGGTAGCCCAAAAAATTTGAGGAAATTCTTTATATGTGGACACCCTCTGAGAAAGATTTCAGATACCATATTTGGGTTTATTCCTTAATGGTAAATCATACAAATAAAATTGCTTATCACTCATTCAACAAGGTGTTGTGTAAACTTTCTTAACAATGTCTGCATGCCACTATTGCCTCAAATCAGGTTTAGATATTGCCCACAGAATAAGCAAATGAAAGGTTTGTCATGTAATCTACATCCCAAATTAAACAGTGAAATGTTGCTATAGAGATGTTGCTATAGAAATGTATAGTTAAAAAATATGTGCTTCCTGACAGTAATGAAACTGGCTGCTTTTTATTTAAATGTATTCTGATATGAAAGTAATAAGGTGCCTTTCAAATAACTCTTTTAAGCCTCTCATCAGTTCCTTCCCAACTATGGCGCACCTTTGGAGTTATTAAAACTTAAGCTTTACTTGTCAAACCCAGACAGTTATTGTATCCTCTTAAAAGGGAATTGAAGCATCATGTAAAGACAGCAATGCCATCAGAGATGTGGTGTTTGAAAGTGAACCTGTCATGAATTCTAAGTGTGGCTCAAATAAAATCATCCCCTGCTATGTCAAACCAGGCCTCTGATAGCAAGAATACTTAACTATGTTCAATGGGGCTTAATGTTTTGTCAGTCATTTATGTTCAAGTTTAAAATATGCTGTCGACTGGAAGTCAACGTCTACTATAATGAATTACAATTCTCCAAAGGAAGAGCCCACCCCACCCCAACCAAGAAGTATCCACAGAAAACAGAGAGTGTCCGTTTTCCTTCTCTCTTTTAACTAATAGAAACTTCAGTGCCCATCAGAAATTTTCCTCCATATATGTCATAATAATTACCAGCAAGAAACATGGTGAAACTCCATTTATTGGAAATAAAAATATCTAAGTTAGCTGGTGTTTTAGAGGATTTTAAATGGCTTGAAAAAAAAGTTTACTTATCAATTGAAGAATTTTTAAGCAAACTGTTCTAACATCCAAGTATAAGGGAATAAGCATCTTAATTCTTCCTATAATCTTTATTTGTTTAAAAACAGAACTTAGAGCACCGGCAAAGGTGAGGCCTAGGGCTTAGCTGGAGCAAGGCCGTAGATGAGAGCTATAAATAAGATGGAAGTATAAATAAGTTTCAAGTAAAGGCAAGGATATGTCTGCTTGTTGATTAATAAAAATGTAAAAGTCATCAAAGACAACTGCTACTGCTGTCATAGGTGGCAAATAAGGGACAAAAAAGAATAGAAAATTCTAAGGAATAGAAAATTATGTGACAAGGGGGGAAGGAAAGGCCATGCAAATTTAGTCTTTGGTATATCAATTCAGGAAGTGGAACTGGACAGGTAATAGAATATACATGATTATAAATCCAATAAGAACTTTGAGGGAGTAAGGGCAAGTTTGGGAGATGCTGTGGGTAATGGAGTTGTCATATCATGGATCTCAGACTATTGTGTTGCATATTGATTTCACACTTTATACAAAGCTGTCACATAATAGGTGTGATTTAATTGAATAAATGATATCTCAGCCTTCTGAAGGTTCCACTGGATATCTGCAGTTAACCAGGCATATGGATGACAGAATAGTATAATAAGGGGCATTCAATCTCAAACTGATTTTCTTCTAAACCCTGCCTAGTTCTCCACTTCAAACCATGGGAACTCTGAGCCCTTTTGCAAAGTTCTTTGACTTAACAAACTTTAGCTTACTTAGGTATATAATGAGAATAATATTAATATGAGATATAAAGAGCTTCAGAAGGGATTAATTAAGGATCGGGCATGAAAAATATTTAGCAAAGTGCTTCACAAATAGTAAGCTGTCGATGGTAGAGTACATAAAATTATACTGTTGATTTAAATCAAATGGCTTTTTAAAACTTTTAATATTGAAATGATTTTTGACAAACAGAAGACTGACAAAAAATAGAACACATTAACCAAAGGCCTATAACCTTTTCTGTAAAGGGTCAGGTAATAAATATAGATTTTGCAGGCAGATGGCTTCAGTCACAATTACTCAACTTAGTACTGTGAAAGCAGTCACACAAGATGTAATACAGCCACAGTTCTGTTCTAACGAAACTTCACAATAACCAATGATGGGCTAAATTCAGCCCGTGGGTCACAGTTTGCCAACCCCCAAAACCAAACTAAAATCTTTATTCAGATATCATCAGTTTGGGCACTAATGTTTTTTTTTTTTTTTTCCTCTTCCAGGATTGGATCTGGGATACCACATTACAACACCTCCCTGCACTCTGCCAGTCTGTGAGCTTCATGGTCTTTCCTTGACCCTCACTAACAGGTCAGCTTCGTATCTGACATGCAACTGAAGAAGGCGTAACTCTGGCAAGGCCGGCTATGATCACTTGGTGAGGGTAGTATTTGCCTAATCTCTCCAATATATATATATATTTTTTTCCTTTCAAAACTATTTGTTAGGGGCAAATCTTAAGTCCAGTCCCTAAAAGAAAAAGGAATCAAGCTCTTTCTCCTGGAGGGAAGACTATCAAAGAATGGGTAGATTTATGCTGAAAATACCACAATAATCAATGACTATTTTTGTAGAGATACTGTGAGGCTGTGCAAATATCTTCTTCTTACTCTCTGGTATTTTGTCCATTGAATTTAGTAAGCATCTCTTTGTCTTATCTGTAATAATTACTACAGAAGTGTACTACCAATCATATCTACTTTCCTCCTTCCTCTATATTTATTGATTGGAGCCTTGTGGAGAATGTTTATCATTTCTTTCCATTTATGTGCATTCATTCATTCAGTCAGTCAGTCATGTATTCCCATATGCACTGAAGGATATCTATTTTATTTTTGGTTTATCATTCATTACTACTGTTATTTATTTTGCTTCTCAAATTTTTCAGCTTAGACTGCTGGGGGCTTTTTGGAGAAGGCTTCAGTGTACTTCATCATGCTTCCCTGTTCTTATTACTTCTTTTTCTCCTGTTGTTTGGTTTTGTTTTCCTTTAAGCCCTTCCTAACTTTCTGTTACTACAAAACATCGCAGGCTCATCTTTATTTTTCTGTCCCAAATCTAGAATCAGCCATTCCCTCAAGGCACCCATGTTTATTTTATTGGTGGATAAATGATACTTGGAGACCAAGATCTGGGCGCTGGTTGTATTGCCCCGACACTTTAATATTTCTAGCACTCTCACAGAACAGAGCCAGGAAGCCTAGGTGTGCATTTACACCCAGGTGCATGCACATATCTCTAATTTAGAATAACCAAATAAAAGACAGGAGGCCCAGTTAAAACTGAATTTCAGATAAACAATGAATTTTTAATATACATATGTCCTAGTTATCATATAGGGCATGATTATACTAAAAAAAATATTCTTGCTTATCTGGAATTCACATTTAACTGGAAGTCCTGCATTATTACTTGCTAAATATAACAACCATAATATTTATTTCTGAATGTATATTAAATATGAATTAATATTGACCAGCAATTCTAATCTAGCGCCACAGGGTTCATGCTAGCCTCCCTTAACTTGCTTCTTTGTGACTTTTTTCTTTGACAGTGAAGACCTTGGTTCTCATTATCTATAATATATGTGCTTATTTGTTCAGCCCTACTTTACACATAAAGTAGTTTAAGAATAACAAAAATATATTCATATGGAAAACAATTGATCCACTAGAGTACAGATTTTAATAGTCAATTTTTATTTTTAGCTTTATAGTATCTAATCAAAAATTTGGGTCAGTTCTTCTCCTTTGCCTTTGGTGAATTTTTACTATATAATATGATATACCTTGAGGTATTTTTCCACAGTCTCCATTTCATTATGGAATACTCTTTTGGTTAATTTTTTTGCATATAAAAAAGCATAAAAAGTCATTCTTTATTGCTTAACGTTTAAGCATTCTTTGTAATTCACAGTCCCATGGTTTAACAAGCAATCCAGTTTTGTAATAACCACCACAATATCACACAGAACAGTTCAATCCCGAGCTGAGGAGACCGCAGCAGCTGTGGAGGATGCAGTCAGGGTCCTGGCTTCCGCCCCATTCCCACCATGGTGACAGTCGCTGAGCTCCTGGTGCTCCTGGCCATAGCCTCAGGCTACTTGATCAGCATCCACCCGCAAACCAAGTAGTATTTCTTCCAGCTGGACCCCTTGGGCACTAAGATGAGCCTCATCTTAGAGGTGGCAGAGAGCAGCTTCCTGGACATTAACATGGAGATTACAGGCCCTGACAATCAAAGAATTTATAAAGGAGACCACGAGTCCAGTGGGAAATACACATTTGCTGCTCACATGGACAGAACATATAAGTTTTGCTTTAGTAGTAGGGTGTCTATCATGACTCCCAAGATAGAGAGGTTCCCGTTGATGTTGGGAAGGCTCCAGAAGGACAAGATATGAAAACAGAAGTTCACTAGAACACGCTAAAAGAAATGATTAATGAATTAGTGGTGACAATAACTGCTGTAAAGCATGAATGGGAGTACATGGAAGTCAGGGAGAGCCATCAATTACAACACAACCAGCAGAGTGGTGCTCTGGTCCTTCTTTGAAGCTCTTGTTCTAGTTGCCATGACACTGGGACAGATCTACTACCTGAAGAGATTTTTTTAATGCCTGGAGAGTTGTTTAAAAGGCCTTTTCCTGATGATCCCAAACTCATAATTCATTTGTTTACCAACCATCTTGGTCATAATGATGTCCTTAGTTTCTACATTGGTATTTTCTGAACTGTACTTTCACAGCTTATGTTTCTTTGTGATTAATAGATATTGGGGGAAAAATCCTTCTTAGGAAAGTTGTAGTGAAAATTTGACATTTGATTGGCATAAAATTTCTTATTTGTATGTTGCCTCTGTTACACAGGGTCCTTCCAGAACTCAAACACTGTAAATGAAATATAGAAGTAAAGTCTTTATTTTGTCTTTTTTCCCTTTTGTTTTGTAATAAATGCAGTTTGTTTAGAAAATCAGCACAGAGCCTGATAGTACTTTACTAAAATGGCTGCATTCTTTGGATTCCCTCATCCTGTGATTCAGGTCAGTAATAATTCATTTTATTGAGTCATTACATGAAGCAATAGTCTATATCTTGACATTTTCTGCCCAGCCTGATAGCCCTGCTGACTGGGGAGTGTACGAAGAGGCTGGTTGTGTTTATACTTTGTCTTTTGTTTCTTTCTTTCTTTGTTTTAAACATGAGACTTGTCCCACATTTTTACATTTGACCTTAGGACTCAATCACATCCGCTTAAAAGGATGACACAAGGAGCTTATAATCTTTTTTTTGTTTGTTTTTGCCTGACCTCAAAAGAAGTCTCTGGTAAAACTGGTTCTCTGGGTGTTTGAGCAAATGCTTTCCACAGGGGCACATCCCCTTTTTCACACTTGGCACCTAGAAAGTATTCATTCACACAACTGGAAAAATCTGATGCCAAAAGGTTAAAGCCTCTTGGGTTTCACTGCAGTGATCTACAGCCACTATTTGATTTTTGAGCAAGTCTTTTGGGCCACTTTAAGACACTGAGTATCAATGTCAATACTAGGGTTTTTGTTTTTGTTTCTCATGAGCCTTTCTTTGTTGGTGCATGTGAATTTTGTTTTATATAAAATGAAAGGATTTTCTCTCTGTCTCTGATGATGGGTTTAAAATTAAAGGAGCATCTGGTTTTAGTGTGGAAATGATCCAGGATTACGTCGTGACCAATGTATATTAGTTACTTGGCAGATTGTTTTGAATATTTGCAAAGGGAAAACTACAAGAAACAAGATTTATATGATTAATTTAAATTTGTTACAGGTTTTGATGTTCAGGACTATTTTTCAAACCTGGGTGAAAATACTTGCCACTGTTTATTGGTAAGGTGACTGTTTCACCTTAGGACAACTGTGTGTGTGTGTGTGTGTGTGTGTGTGTGTGTGTGTGTGTGTGAAAACACTTCAAAATTGGATTAAAAGATGTAAATTTTTATTTACACCAGGTTCAATAAATAAATAATTCTTAAAAGAAAGAAAGAAAGAAAGAAAGAAAGATAGTTCAATTACCCTGTAAGTTATCTTATACAACCACTATTGTCAAACCTCACTCTTAACTCCAATTAAATAGAATTCTATCAGTCTTGTATTTTAGAAATAAGGCATTTATAAAATATGTGATTTGCAAATACTTCCTCTCAAGCTATATGCTGTCTTTTCTTTTTCTTAACAATGTCCTTTACAGAAAAAAAGTTTTCATTTTGATCAAGAACAGCACATTAATTTTTCTTTTAGAAATTATGTTTTTGGCTGTATAGTTTAGTTTTTTGCTGTATAGTTTCATAGTTTATTGTATCTATAAATCATTACTAACCCAAGTTCATGAAGATTTGTTCCTATTTATTCTAGAAGTTTGATAGTTTTACAGTTTATACTTAGGACTATGATCCATTTTCAGTCATTTTTGTAAACCCAAAGTATGTGTTGAATATTTTTTAAACATGATTGTACTCATATCCCAGTATCATTATTTCAAAAGATTATTCTTTCTCCATTGAATTGCCTTTGACATCCTTGTCATAGACTAGTACAGTAGTCTATATTTGTATAGGTCTGTTTCTGTGCTCTCAAGCTCTCTATCAACTCTCATTGATATATGTATCTCTGCTTTTACCTATGCCACATCAAAATGTAACTATAAATTTCTAGTAAGTATTTTTTAAAGTTTTGGCATAAAATTGAATGGGGTATCCTTCAATGTTTTAGCACATACATGTATATGTTGTATAATGTTCAAATGAGGGAAAGCATATATATCACCTCAAATATTAACCACTTATTTGTGGTGAAAATGTACAAAAACTCTTTCTTCACCAGGCATGGTGATGCATACCTGGATTCTCAGCAACTTGGGAAGCCGAGGCAGGAGGATCACAAGTTGAAAGCCAGCCTCAGCAATTTAGCAAGATCCCAGGAAACTTACTGAGACCCTGTCTCAAAAAGTAGATAGATAGATAGATAGATAGATAGATAGATAGATAGATAGATAGATAGATATAGACATAGATATCTTTTCAAGTACTTTTTAACTGTATAGAACATTGTTGTTGTCCATAGTCTCCCTAGTGTGCAATAGCACACCAGAAGTTTTTCCACTTATCTAACTATAAAACTATAATTTACTACGTGGTAGCCACCCTTTATTCCCTTCACTCACCCCTATTTTCCTAGCTACCATTCTACTTTCAAATTCTATATGATCAACTTTTTAGATTCCAGTATAAGTGAGATCTTGCAATATTACCCCAGCTTATTTTGCTTAACATAATGGCATTCAATCCATCTTCTTACAAAGGACAGGATTTTATTCATTTTATGGCAAAATGGTATTCTGTCCTACAACTATTGTACATTTTATTTTTCTGTTCAATAGATTGACTCAAACTGTTTCCATTTCTTGGCTATTTTAACTAGTGTTGCAATAGTCATGGGAGTGCAGAAATACTGATTTGACATACTGATTTCATTACCTTTAGCTGCTTACTCATTAGTAGAATTTCTGGATAATATGGTAGATTTATTTTTCATTTTTTGAGGAACCTCTTACTGTTTTCCATAATGGCTGTACTAATTTACATTCCTGCAATAGGGTACAAGTGTTTCCTTTTCTACATATTCTTGTTGGCAGATGTTATCTCTTGTGTTTTTGTTTTTGTTTTTTTAACAGCCATTCTTACTGGAATGAGGTGTTATTGCTTCTATTTGAATTGCATTTCCCTGATTATTAGTGATGTTGGGCAATTTTTATGAGCCTGATGGTCATTTGTATGTCTTTATTTTAGAAATGTGTATTTAAGTCTATTGCCCATTTTTTCAAATCAGGTTATTTGGGTTTTGTTGTTGTTGTTTAGTTTTTTGTTGTTATTGAGTTGTTTTTGTTCCTTACTACTCTGCATATTATCCTTTTGTCAGATGAATAATTTACAAATATTTTCTTCCATTCTGTAGGTTGTCTCTTCTCTCTTTTGTTTATTTTACTATATGTAAGCTTTTTAGTTTGATGTTATCCCATTTGTCCATTTCTGCTTTTGTTTCCTGAGTTTTGGGGTATTTATCTAAAATATCCTTGCCTATTGCTATGTCCTGAAATATTTTTCCTATATTTTCTTCTAATAGTTTCAAAGTTTCATATCTTATACTTAGGTGGAGTTTTGTACAAGATGAGAGATTGGAGTCTAGTTTCCTTCTTCTGCATATAGATAACCTGTTTTCCAATACCATTGAAGGGATTATCCCTTCCCAATTCATGTTCTTAGCACTTTTGTCAGAGATCAGTTAACTATAGAAGCTGGATTTACTTCTAGGCTCTCTATTCTTAGAGATGTCTGTTTTTATAACAATATCAAGCTGCTTTGCTTACTGTAGCTTTGTAGTACATTTTTGAAATCAGATACTATAATACCTCCTGCTTTGTTCTTTGGGCTCAAGATTGCTTTGGTTATTTGGGTGTTTTTGGTTTCCTTTGTTTGGGTGAATGCTTGTAATCCCTCCCAAACTGCTGGGATTACAAGCATGCACCACCACACACAGCAGTATGAATTTTTTTTTTAAGAGAAAGAGAGAGAGAGAAAATTTTTTAAATATTTATTTTTTAGTTTTCGGTGGACACAACATCTTTATTTTTTATTTTTACATGGTGCTGAGGATCGAACCCAGTGCCCTGTGCATGCCAGGAGAGTGCACTACCGCTTGAGCCACATCCCCAGCCCAATGAACATTTTAGCTGTATTGATTCTTCCAGTTCATGAACATAGGATGTGTTTCCATCTTTCTGTGGCTTCTTCAATTTCTTTAATCAATCTTATAGTTAAGGAGATATTTAACCTCTTTTGAAGTATTCCTAGGTGCTTTCTTAAGCTTATTGTAAATGAAATTGCTTTCTTGGTTTCTTTTTCAGATTATTTGCAATTAGTGTATAAGAATTCTGTTGATGTTTTGCATGTTCATTTTGAATCCTGCACCTTACAATGTACATGAAAATAATCTGAATCTGTCTTCAAATATTACTAAACACTCAACATATAACATAGGATCTTGTAACAATATGTTTTAATTCTTTTCCATTTTCATTTTGATTTTTTGTTCTGTATTTTATTCTTACATATTCTATAAACACACAATACATTAATACACTATTTTCCAAAATGTTTACTTCTTAGAACAACTAAACACTAGAAACATAGTTTTATTTTATCTTCTTTTTTTTCATTTCCAGTGCTATTCATTTTATTGTATGTATACAATCTTCTAACAATGTGCTATGATTCTTAGATACTTAGTAATCTATTCTCTGTGCTTATTAAAACTTTTGATGCTTGTTGAAGATAAAGGACATGAATCCGGGGAACATTTTGGCATTGATTATTATTCCCCTTCCCCAACCAGTTCCATATGGAACCTCCCTTGGGATTCTTTATAATCTTCCCTGTGAGTATCCAGTGGCCTTCATGCAGGAAAACCCTACAAGAGAGTACAAACCTCTTTTATCTGTGGCCCTCGAAAGTTTCACACTCTTTTTGTATTCTTTGGCCTTTCACAGTTCCTTTAAAAATGTTTAGCTACATTTTTTTTTCTAGCTTCTGCAATGACTAGGCCCTAGTAAGCAAATTTCAGCATTTTGTCTTTCACTACTTGTGCCTGCCTTTCCCCATTTTGAATTTAGCTGTTTGCTCTCCATCCTGTGTCCTCTGATAGCTTCAAGAACATTCCTTGATTTGTAGTTTGTCCAGCTTTTATCTTGTTATAAGGGTGGGAGCAATGTCCTTTCCAGCTCTCTATATCTTTGAGCTCTCAGCTGACATTTTAAAATATCCTTTAAATATACTCAAAGATATTACTAAGATTAGAATGTCTTCACTCAGCCCAAAGAAAATCATGATTTGCAATGATGCCGCAGATATGGAAATAGGTTAGTCTTTATGTTATCAATACAGAGATTGGCAACAACTCTGATGTGAGTATATGAGATGATAAAAATAATCATTCAAAATCTAA